TATATATATATTGATTTTTAAACATTTTAACATCTAACTGCTGACCCGAGCCAGCCGTCCGTAAACTGTTGTGAACAAAACTAACTTGTGTTTCGCGCGCTCATATGACCTTATGCAGTTGAGGGCGCCGTAAAACCCCATACTAAACTAAACTAAATTCACAATTGCAGTGTGTAGGAAGGTGGATAGCTTCATTTTGTGGTGTCATTATGATAAAAAGAATTTTGCAGTAGTAAAGATTTTGATTGAAAGTAAGTTGCAACAGCAAGTGACCAGCACAGGACTATTTTTAAGAAATCAAGAGAGCCACTGGAAAATGCTGCCACCAAATTTTATGGCATGGCCCTGCCGCGACAGTGGAAGACACTCCCCTGGAAGAAGTGGACCCCCTTACCTACCTTGGAAGTGTCCGGTAAAGGTACAAACACCCCCCGGGGCGGTGCCACTAACTGAAGTATCTCTAGGCCATTCCGAAAGGGGGGACATTTCTCGTTCTAATGTACAGTAGAATTGTAAATGGGCTGATCCAACAATGTCATGCTCATAACTGTGCCTGAACTACAACAGGGAACTGCTGCTTTTTCTTTCCTAATCCTTACTATCGTCATTTTCCTCTACTTCTTTTGTATGTTTGTAAAACTCTTGTGACCGGTTATTTTCGGGGTGCCTTGATAGTCGAAGCAGACTTTGAACTGTTGAAGTTAGAGAGGTGAGCAGAGTAAGTCTGATTCCCTGTAAGGATTTCTCATATGACCTTATGCAGTTGTGAGTGCCGTAAAACCCCTACTAGAAAAAAAGAGGTAGGACTGAGGTAGATGTTAAAGCAAGAACCATAAAGGCAAGGTCAGCAATCAATCAATTATCCAAAGTCTGGAAAGCAAACAACATCTCACTGTGTACCACCGTTATCCAATGTCAAGTCTGTGCTCCTCTACAGCTGCGAAACTTGGAAGACAACTAAGACAGTACTGAATCAAGTCCAGACTTTCCTTCAACAACAGATGAGGAGTATCCTAAGAATTCAGTGACAGGATAGAATCAGAAATGAAGAGCTGTGGGAAAGGACAGGACAAATGGATATAAAAGTATAAAAATAAGATTAAGAAAGTGGCGATGGACGGGACTCACCCTCAGAAAACCCAGAAAAAACATCGCAAGACAGTCACTGCAGTGGAACCCAGAGGCAGCACGAGGCAGGTGTGGTTTTTAAGTTTTAGTAGAGGTTTTACGGCACTTGTAACTGCACAAGGTCATATGAGCGCCAGAAGATTAGAGGTGTTATAAGAGAGTCTGAGAGTAACAAACAAAAAAGAAGAGGAGATAAGGACGATAGATGTTCGATAGGAAAGAAGAAGCAAACCACACCAGAGCACCCGCCAACCACCCAGGTGTGGGCCACGTGAAACATGGAGGAGATGTGTGGAAAGGGACATGAGAGAGATGAAGTTCATTTGGAACGAGCTCGGAAGGACGACCCAGGACAGAGATAAATAGGAGCTTGTATTTGGCCTATACCCTGCCAGGGGTGAAATGCATGTACGATGACGATGACTTGGCAATGGGTCTACTTTGTGTAAAGAGAAGCACATCAACAAAATAATAGGATTTATAATTTTTAAAAGTAAGACAGACAGTCCGAACAAAATAAGGGGAATACATTGGGAATGCATGTACTTTTGAAATGAAAAACTGACCAAGGGCTGACATTTGACCAAGTTTAGTTTATTTCACAAGTATGTCATGACATGAGGCTCATTCACTCAACATAAAAGGATGAATCTGAAGTCAGAAAGAGGCAAAGTACCTGCTACATTTGCAGACAATGCCAAGTCACTGTTCAGAAAAATGAAATTTAAAAAAAAAAGAAATGACATGCATATAACATGTAGTATGTGAAGCGCACTTAGCCAAAGAGAAAATGTTTATAAAGAGTAGGCATGGACTTAATTTTCTTTATGTTTCCTGAACATATAAGAAGGTAGGTTTATATGATGATTCAAAAAGTTTTAGCAAAGCTTGAAGAATTCAGAACTGACACTTAATTCTCCCAAACCATTGGTCTTCTGTCCACAGAGCAAGTTCCACATACCGCAGAATTGCCACTCAAGATCAAATTCCACAGCAACTCTTACATGGATTCAAACCACTGCACTATTATAATTGACGAATTTTTAACGCACCATACCAGTAATATGAAGGTTAAAAAATGATAGTAAATTAGCTGTAAACCTTGAGATGCCATTCCGTTTCTTGCCATATAATTACTAATTTTTCATCAATTAAACATTGGTGGTCCGTGAAGCAAGTTTGTTTGCAAAAATTACGACAGTAAGAAAACCAGGGAAGATGATGCTGGTGTCATTCAGTTTTTGTAAAGATTTATTGTTGACAATACAGAATACAATATTTCCTTCATAGCACATTTTACATCACGTTCACAGATAAGCTCATAGGGGAAGTTTTCAATCATTTCTTGTAAATATCAAGGGGTACTTTCTTGATCATAAAGTAAAGAAAAGATCACTTTCATTCTCTTCAAAGGAAACTTTTCACTTCTTTGATAAAATTGATTATTCTTTTACAGATTGTATTACCTTACTTATATTATCAATTTAGAGTCGATGGAAAACAGACAGCTAATTGGATGTGAACTTTTTCCCTCCAATTTTCTAAAACATGTACCATTTTGCACTTCCACAGAGGCTGAAAGAATTCAGGGCCCACCCATGCAAATTGCTGAAAAAATTATGGAGAGTTAGTGCTAAAGTAATGCTCTAGTTGGGAACATGAAACCATTCCAAATTTAAAAAACTGCATTTTTTTTAAAAATCAGGATATGTATGCCAATAATGTGCATTCTCGATGACAAGTCATTCTTTTGGGAGACATTTTGAGAGCATAAGCACATAATGCACTACAAGCATAAGGATTTCTGTCGATCTAAAATCAATGCAAATAAAATTACAAGAAAGCATTTAACTAGGTGAGAAAATTAGTCAAATGTTAGGCCAAATGTAAGAAAATTTAAGAAAAAAACCCTTTAAAATGTAAAAATGAGGAGCAGAAAAAAAGAACTCCAGTACAGTACAGCTGAAAATATTGTCTTAAACTTCAAGACACAGTGAATCACATGATGTCTCTTCTACTTCCAAATATAGCAATTTGAAAATTTCAAAAAAATGTTGGTGACTATTTTTATGGCAACCATTATGCTGATCCCTGTGAAATTTTGTAAATCACCCATCCTCATCAGGTCCAGTACCCACACCACCCAAGAACAAAATGTGGGTCCACAAATAAAGAAAATGACAGTAAACAAATTAAAATTATTAACAAATGTCAAGAACTGCGGTAGTTAAATATGCAAAACCATATGACTGTTACTGAGTGAGCAGCATGCATGCAATTATGGCATTAATTTTAGATACCGTTGAGCATATTATTTGAGGCTACTGAATTATGAGAAATATTTCTTTGTTTTGAATAGAGAAGGGAAAATGACATCGGTCATTAAAAAGCACAAACAATATCTTCCACACATGACACAATTCTAAATATTTGACAAACAAACACATTGGGCCTTTCCCTAAAAAGACTAGAGAAAAACTTTGGTTTCCGAAGAACAGCACTGGGCATTTTCCAGTTCCTTCCTTTTTTTTTACTTCATAGTAACAGTCTTTTTAAGATTAATCTTTTTAACATTAAGAAAGTACGGTAACTTTTATAAAAGAAGTACTAACACTCCCTTTCTATCACTGTTTTGAGCTATAGCAAAGTGCCAAAACTAAAGAGCACATCAAGGATTTGAGAAAATACAAATTATGCAAATTGACATTATCATTATTGTTTCTTTCATCTTCACAAAAGACAAATTTTATATATGAAAAAATCTTTGGCTCATGCCAAACCAAATGTGATCCTATAGTGACAACTAACCTGGTGGAACCTTCAAATTTAAGACAAACAACAGGCAATACTCAATGTACTAGGAGACTCCTTTAAACTGCCAGCGTTAGTTACAAAGATCGTCAAATGGCCCTAAAGACAATAACACAGACACATGTACAGTTTAGATGATTCTCATATCCAGGGTAGAACTTGTGCCAAAACAACCTCTCAAGACAGCAAAACTATGAGAAAAGTACACAACAGTAAACAGGCAGATGCTACACACAGAAAATATTGCACTTTGGTTCTGTTACCTGGGTGTGTAGTCTCACTCTGACGCTTCCCCTCTCAGTCTCACCCACTCACACTTATCTTCTCACGAAACCAATTAGCTGGTTCATTACATGAACAATTTCACATACATACGTACACAAAGAAGTGCACAATACCACTACACATATCACACAAAATGAGAGAGAAAAAAAAAACCCATGCAACTCCCAAACACCAGGAAGAGCCCCTTTTATCATCAAAGCAATATAATCAAGCTGTATCAGTTCTTTGCAACTTTCTGAGTACACTAATCAAAAGAAAAAAAAAAGGATAGGAAAAAAAATAATTATACAAACAACATATATATTATACTCATGGGATACAAACAAATCTATGGCAGCTAAAAATACATTGCTGCCACACATACATTCACAGTACATGGAATCACAGACAACAAATGGAACCAGATCAAAAAGATTTTCATTACATACAAAAAAAAGCAAAGTAATAGATAATAGACATGGAAATAAATATACTGCATGCTGCAACATGTTAAAATTTTCCTAAGAAACTTTTTACAAAAACTATAAACTAAAAAAAACTAATTTTCAGAGTCTGGGTGATAACAGTGGTATGCACAAAGCAAAGTGAGAAATGGAGCTAATCACCTGATAAGGTATATCATTCCCATACCTGAGACGTCTAATGTGGCCACAAGCAGTAGTGTGATGCCAGGTTACACTTCGAGATTCAAAGAAAAGCTTTTGGCCACACTGACTAATAGCTAGATAGGACCAGGATTCTCCTACAAATGACCTAAAGCTGAGCAATTAGGATACTAATACTTTTTTAAAAACCCATAAAACTCACTTCAACAACCCTACCGTTTCTTCACCATATCCTTTTTTAAGGAAAGCTTGGTGTGTCCATGATCAGTTTATTTCTCTGTATATATTAATATATGCAAGGCAGCATAAGTTGAGTCTTCAAGTCTCTGCCCCCAAACTCATTTTTAAACCCCAGTGAACAAAGACAAATTAGTCACTATGACTGAGCGGCCACCAAGAACTCAGAGGCCAGGAATGTTTCATGCTGTATACATATCAAGACTCATAATGAAGCCCCCAAAACCATTTTATGACAAATATTCAGTCCAACATGAAATAAATGTACCATCATCTGTACAAGGAGCACTCCACTGAAACCCAACGATACCTAAAATTCACACTCTTAGAAGAAGAAATGAAATGCGTGTGGGCACATTCAGAGAACCATTCTCAAAAGGTTAGCAGAGCTGGAGAGCCTTTTTTCCTCCATTTGTGGCAAACAACACAGAAGGAGAATTTACTTTTACAGAGATATTAAGGGACAGGCAGGTTTGCACAGCGATTTAAAAGGGAATGAGTCAACTGTATGTTGTCTATGACGTGCAAGAAATTTCCAGAATAAGTATAAAGAGGGGTTAAAAATGGGTTAACAAACTTTATCAGTTCCCTGTGCAGGCCTCGAGTCCCATTATCTTTTTCACTTAAAATTAATAGAAAAACACCTAGTATTGACAGCACTCAAGTCATCAAGCATAAAAATTTACCGATTCAAAATTTAAGTCGCTGCAACTGTTTTCAACAGACCTTTTTGAGAATGGTTCATAAATATAAATAACATAGCCTTTCAATTACTTCTGTGTAAAGATCATGCCCATAAATTTTGTGGTGAAAATACATTGAGGAGTTCAGGAAAAAAAAATTACAGGTGTTCCTAATAAAGTATAGCCAGCATGTTCCAAGGTCAGGCCGTAAGGAAGTGAGATATCTTCACATCGTCATCATCACCTGACTTTTGACTACTCAGCAGCAACCGCCACCTTGGTTTCCACCACTTCCACCTGCAGGCATGTTCTGATTTGCAGGTGAATGCTGAGGTCCAATCTTGATACCATTTGCCTGAAGAAAAACAAGTAACAGAAAAGCTAGTTCAATCTAACTGCAGTAACAAGAATCAGCCAATAATGCACAATATTTCCATATGGAAATGTCTCCATATAGTTGGAATCCAAGGGGGAAAAGATCATCTTTTTAGTTTTAGTAAAAGTTTTACGGCACTTGCAACACAATAAGGTCATATAAATGCAGAAGATTAGAAGTGTTACAAGGGAGAAACAAACACAAAAAAGGAGGGGAGATAAAGACGATAGATGTTTGATAGGAAAGAAGAAGCAAACCACACCAGAGCACCCACCAACCACCCACAAAGATATTCTTACTTCGGAAATTCACGGCTGTCATTTTGGGTAGATGAATAAAAAATAATATGAAAGTTTGAGAAAACAAAAGAGCATCAACACAATAATGCAAAAACAAAAGTCTTTCATAGAGGGGAAAGGAATGAAATCAGGACTCACCAGTCACATCTTCCAATTGTTCATTATTTGTGAAAAAGATTTGAAGGAGTCGGCTTCCAAATGAGCTGGGCCTTATCTCCGTCTACATCTTTTATTTTCAAACCATCTTCAAGACTTTGCTCAAAAATGTATTGTGGTTAAATTTAGGGATTTAATTTCTAACCCTTTGAGCCCATTACACAAGAAGAACTTTTGTTCCTTCCTACATTGAAGCAGTAACACTGGTATACCACTACTTGTCGGCATCCCTGCCCATCCAGAAAAAAAAATATGTACCTCATAATCATTGACCTAAGGCCCCGCGTCCACTGCGCTTTTTCGTCACTTGCAGGCCAAGCTCACATGCAAATGAGCTTGTTTTTGTCAGTCACTGACTGCCTTTGCCTGACTACGCGATTTTCCTGCATGCACGCTTTTTCGTCAGTCGTGTAGGGGACTAAGAAAGCCTCGATTCGACTCATTTTGGAAGGAAATTTGCATCTTTAAGTACATTTTTGCTTCTTCATTGTACTTTACATGATAAATAAAGTTGTATCTCATTATAATATATTGTAGAATAGCAGATCTGAGCTGAAAAACAGCAAAAAAAATGAAATTAAAGCACTTGACCTAGATCTAGATCATTATTTCGTTCTCAGGAGAGCTAAAAATAGGCCATGTTACTGTTAGACCTAGCTAAGGACGTGTCTAGATCTAGATTGATCAACGTTCTCTAATGTTTAGTGCTTCCAATTTTCTGCCAACTTTTAGTTTTCTCCTGACATCTGCCGGTCCACTAGATCTGGGCCTAGATTCTAGATCTATATCTCGATATATTGTGTCGCTTTGCCTTTCCTGAAACAGTGCCGTATATGAAGCTTAATTTACCCTTCGCTGATGAAAGTTCTGATGGCTGAGTGAACAGCGTGTCCACGGTTGAAGGCAAACAGTATTTTTTTAGCGTGGGTTCGAATCCCAGTCCCAGCTTTTTTTTTGCTTTTTTTTAACCTTCTCATCGTCCCAACTTACCAACAATGTTTCCCATAATTATAATTTGTTGCTTTTTAGTTTTTTAAAGTGGTAAATAAATAAATAAATCGCCTGTGCTGTCTGTTGTTCTCGAAATCATAACGCACTGGGCTAAAAATAGATTTAGCTGTCTTATTCCGTCTTGGCTGGTCTGACGTCAGTGGACGCGGATTTTTTTGAGTCACTTCTACACCCTGCAAAAACTTCGTACATTAGCTTGGCCTGGAGGTGATCTTATTTTGATGGACGCGTAGGCTAAAGCAACAAGCTTCATTCAAATAGACAAAGGCCATTTCCAGCTAATATTTTAACAAATCCAGACTCAAAGAGAGAATGGTCAGGTAAACGATATAACTAGATATTAATTTACCTCATTATTGATGTCAAACACACCATCTTGTATCTTTTGGTAGATTTCCTTCGCAGTGTTGATAAATGCCTGAAAATGAAGATACAGAAGAGTAATTATGCAAGGGACTTTTGGGTCAATTCAAACTTAAGCTGATGACCTTGAGTAAGATTTCAATCATTAGTTGACAATAATATTTGAAAAGGCCTGGGGAAAAGATGAATATGTTGGTGGAGTCAGTTTTGAAAGATTTAAAAGTACATGGTTGGGGGTTTCCAGGTCACTTTCGAGTTTTGCACAATTCATAGACTTTGACATGAAAAATTATATATCTTTATGTGACAAAAGTTTGAACACTGGCATGAGTAATCCGAATTTGCAAAGTCCAATCTCTTTCCGGAGCCTGAATTTGGGTCACCACTGAAGGTCTATATAAGGTCCGCCCGATATTCTGTCACTTACTTTCTCAAACTTTTTAAGCTCTATTTCTGGATCAATAACAATGGAACTTGGCAATCAATCAGAAAATTGAGTAAACTAATGACAGGTGATAATTAAGATTGTACACATAAATTAATCTCTATTCTTAGTGCCAGAAACACTTTCTTGTCTGGTGTTTTGTATAAATAACAAGGAGCTGGATTCTCAACTTCAACAAAGTAAGAGGTATATCCTTCATATATCACACTGCCCTAAAATTGGACAGTTCTATGTTCAGCAATTGTTAAGAAATTATAATAAACATACAAGCCAACAAAGAAAGGCTCTTGTGAAAAATCATTTTTTTTCTTTGGCATTGCTATCCAAATTAAAACAGAAACAACCTTGTTAATAATGCTGTTTAATCAAAAAGCTCACTCATAAGCCAGTTGACACATCCCCTTACCAAATGTACCTGCTAGCATGGCCCAAAAACTAGCTATCTAACCAATCTCATGATAAAACAGAAAAGAATAAATAAAGAGCTCACCTCTTCTACATTTGCAGCAGTTTTAGCTGACGTTTCCATGAAAATCAATCCATGTTCACGGGCAAATGCTTCACCTTCTTCTTTCTTGACTTCCCTTCGGGCTTCAAGGTCACTGGTAAATAAAAAATAATTTGAAAAGGACTATTAATAATTCACAGACAATTAATGGCTATAAAAAAATCCAGAACTTTCTGGACTCCCTGGAAATTCCCATGCAGAGAATCAAAATTTAAAAATCAATCAGTCTAATATTGCATCTTGTATCAAAATGAATTTTAAACATAGTGAAATATCTTCTATCAATTGATTTTTATACATTGAGTGCAATATCTTCTATCAAGGCTTGGTTTTGGTAATGTTTTATCATGCTCGCAACTGAATAAGGTCATATGAGCACACAAGACATATTAAGCATTTCAGTTTGGTAAGAATTAAATTTGAATTTTGTCTGGGTGGCAGCTGAAGCCTACTCTTATCAATTTTAGGACCAGCAAGGGATCTTAATCTATTTTCGTGGATCTTTCCACAGTCAGCTTGAAGACTGTTAAATTCTCGACTCATTTCTTTGTCTGTGATTTTTTTTCAAATTCCCCAAACCCCCAAGGCCTGGCAGTTACCCTGTACATACGTTAGATAATTTCAAAGCAACAACTGAATTAACTCACTTGCTACTGGGCTCTTTCACCAGTCACAAGCGTTGAAGACTGGCGTTTTTGGGAGTATTTCAATAAATCACCACAACTCTCAAAATTTCCCTATTGTAATTATTTTTTTGGCACAGTAAAGTTACATTCAAGCTTAATCTAGTACAAAAAACTAAAGTTGTTTAAGTCTAATACTTTAATTTGTATGATTTTTTAAAAATTGGCATGAATTTGATTTTCCGAAAAATTTCCAGAGACGTGACAGGTAGAATGAAATTCACAACAACAACAAAAATGAAAGTTCAAAGTGTTCTGATTTGATTTGTATGCATGTGTGAGAGTTTGGTGAAAATATAAAAGCTGGTTTGTGCGTTGATTCAGACCCATACACTGAATTACATGAGACAGATGTACGGCACGATGTTGTGATTTCGTTGCGCGAACAACAACACCAGTACTAGTGCTAGATCTAGCCCTAAAACTACGACTCGGGCCGTGTTCGGGTACATATCCTGGATCCCAACTATCAGACACATCATATTCTGAGACACTAGAACTAGTAAAACGTACAGAAGTATCGAAAACGGCGAAATTATGTGATTCTTGTTCATGCGACTTCTTCGACCGTTACTACGACGCGATTGTCGGATTATTATCAGCTGTATAGAAAAAAACAAAGCGCGAGTTCCGGCCAATTCAACCCCAGTTGGGGTCACTGTCCTTCACCTTCAATAACTTAAAAACTACGGGCCCCAGAGATACGAAACAAAGTCTAAGTAGCTTGACCAAACAAGGGTACGAGGCGGGTCTCGCGATCCGTGCATGATTTGTAGAGCGAAAAAAAAATTCCAAAGTTGGTCACGCAGGGCTTGTGGGAGCCGTCGTGAGCGTCGCGGCAGGGGTCACGCAACTGTTGTGTGAACCGTCTGAAGTGAGTTAATCGAAGCCTATCGTCAGAAGATGGAATTCACCTTTTCTTCCATTAAGTGCAAAAGAATGTAAACACTGGGAAGCTGCTGTCAGAACAGGAAGGTGAACAATTATAATATCAGCAGAGAATGTGAACAGGAAAGGATAAGACAGAAAGTCAACACTGACAATTCAGCTAAGGTTATGACAATTCCCTTTCTTCTGAAAGGAATTCACTCTCTACAACCTAACCTGTAGTGAAAGCGCAAACAACGACAAACAGAGTGCATTTCTCAAATGCATATGAAAAGTGCACTGAACTTATCCCCACCCCCTCTCCCAAAACTTCACGATACTCTTCACTATTTCCACCTCTTTCTTCCCGCATTGCCCTTTTCACAGTCGAGGGGGGAAAAAAGTGCATCTTTTTCCAAAAAGTAAAGGACAGACCTCACAAAAGAGAGAACAGGGATAACAAAACTTTAAAAAGAAGAAGTACTCCAAAGAATAATAAGCACCTCTGCCGTCTACCACCCATAGTGACAACAAATATATGAACTAAATTTATGAAACAAATGAGCACTAAAAATTAGATCCGCGATTAACAATGCCCTTATCATGATCCTTACCTCTTGTTCCCTATGAGCATAATCACCATGTTGGAATTGGAATGCTGCCTAGCATCCTCTAACCATGTGGTCAAGTGGTTGAATGTGTCGCGCCTAGAAGAAAGGATAGCTTGTGTGTCAAAATCAGCAGAAAAAGCCTTATCTCCAGCAAAATCATTTTCAAAACAGAACAACATAAAACTAGACATTTTTACAACAGGTTCTTCCCTTTTATGGATATTCACTAATGAGTGTCTTTGGTCACCACTGACTCATACAAGACACATACTCTGCGGGTGAAGGCTCCTCATATTTCTCAAAAAGAGCTTACAAACACACACCTAAGATTATTGTTGAATGTGTGTCCATGGGTACACTGATGATAGAAAAAAATTAAACCACATCACTCAAGAAGACCACCATTGGTGCTTTATCAACACTTTTAGTAGTAAAATAACATATCAATTCTCAGCAGAGTACCAATACCATTACACACAAATACACTTGCACACTGACCCATGCACATACTGACACAAAGACCCATGCATGCAAGCAGATGCACATAAAATAGCTGAATATCCCCTGCACAAACTACTCATAAATTTAGGCTCCATCATAAATTCACAAAACCGAACTTCCATCTTCAATGATTTCTAAAGAATAGAAATCCAAACTTTCACTTGGGCATGAAATAATGTCACGAGATGCAGATGCCTGGATGACAGACAGTTTTAATTACTTGTCCCAACTGCTGCTGAATATTTATAACTGTAAACTGACAATGAATTACCTTGTGATGTCATACACAAGCAAAGCTCCAGCTGCTCCACGGTAGTATGAACGTGTAATAGAGCGGAAAGACTCTTGACCTGCCTGAAATTTAAAATTTCATGTCAGTACCTTTCGCTTCTGAACAACCGATTAACAGACACACAAAAATAATATATAATATACCAATCCCTTAAGGAAGGACTGATATACAATTTTCAAAATCGTTATGCACAGACTTGGTTATCATTTAAAGGCATTTTATGTGACTTTCGGGGTATAGTACAATATTTACATTCAAACATACTTTATTTCTCGTTCAGGGAAGACTTTTATACTTTTGTTTTTATGGTTTTTTAGTACGGACAAAATATTGTCATTACAAATGTACAAAATTCATATTTTCATAAACTCAACTCTAGAACAGGTGGTTGCAACCTGTAACATGTGTTATGGCTACTGATTATAAAAAGTGAGACATCCTGGTTAATGACATATGACTCACTAAAATACAGAAATTTCTGACTGGTTGCCAAGTTTCATCATCACTGATTCAACAATAGCACTGAAAATGTTTGAGAACGTAAGTGTCAGAGATTCCTGTTCGGTCCAACAATTAATGGTAGGTAACCTAAATTCGAGCACAAGAACCAATCAAATATAATAGGCACTAGGATGAATTTCGGTAGCCCTATGCTATCACACTAGGGCTGCTCTTTACAGATGGAGTTGATAATGAAGGGGGAGAAAGTATGGAACTATCGTAAAAATACGAAAGATTGGCAGCACTGAGTATCAACAGTAGAGTTGAATTTTGTATCTCCAACCTATTCAGGGTTTGATTGTAACTTTCATGCATTTGAAGCACTAAATGCATGTAAAGGAAGATGATGGACAGAAATAAAGAAAAAAAAGAAAAAAGAAAAGTAATATCCATGGCGCCCTTTTACCTTCTGTTTTAAGTATTTAAACTATGCAGTGTGCATTGAACAATAACAATCCCAGAAACAGGTTAT